AAGACTTTCAATAGGTGGTAACTTCGTATATTCTTCACAGGGACAATATTCTTATGACTTGTATGAGATGTGAATTCTTGGAGTATTTTACGCCCAACCACCGGTACGGTAGCTTTATATTTCTTTGCTTCAGTCACCCTTGACAGTTTCGTTGTAACTTTGGTGTCACGAGAAACAGGCATCCTTTGCACACAGCCAGACGCCTGGTTGTAAAACACGTATCCTTCATGTGGAGAAAAGGTGATCAGTGTGTTGGAAGCATGCAAAGCATGTGAATCTCCACAGTGTAATCCTTCACTCGGTGGTTTGAGACAACCGTTCTTGAAGTATATGATTCCGGAGACGGTAAATGAGGTGTCGACAAACAATTTCGACGAGACATCCCCGAGATGTGTGTCTCAAGGCTTTTGTCAGGCCGGACATCAGTCACCATAGCAGCATCGGATGATGTGCTCAACCGGGTTGCTTTTGCACACGTGTCTGTCGTTTTCCTAACCCACCTGTCAGGGCTTTCATTGATAGCCACTCGCCTTTGTGAAGTGGGGGTCACATTTATCCTACCCGAAGGTATAGACAGGGCGTTCATAGTATGGTAACCCTCTGTGGTACCACTACCTACAGGATACACAATTGACCCATTTTGAAGTACATGTTCCAGAATTTGTGGCGCCAGGTTGATCTTACTGAGATACTTGTCATCCGCATGAAACGATTGGTCACAATTGGTGTCTGGTGCCATTAAACCATTATCAGGTGTATGAGTGTGGTTACTGTGGATTAACCGAGCTCGAACAGAGGATGTTTTCGTTGCACTTTCAGTCGATGAATCTTTTGTTCTACTTGTGTGGTGTTCCCAAGCAAATTGAGATGGGTCTCTTAATATGGCTGAATGATGTTCATCTGGTTGTGGCGCACACACTGACGCAATTGCAGATGTTGAGGCAGGTCCTGCAAAACTTTGGACCAGTTCAGCGAAATTCATTCTACTATCCCTAGGAGCTGATCCATCGCAGCTACTTTCTGACATATTGATGGAATTTTGAATGTGGTTGATATTAGCATTAAACCTGACATGCACGTCGACAATACCGCTTTTCCTTGCAATGCAAGACACGGGTTGAACGATTGATTGCTTCTGGGTATAACGACTCTTCAGAAGAGAAAAAACCGCTTCTGGGTATAACGACTCTTCAGAAGAGAAAAAACCGAAGTTTCAACAAATCTACGCAATTCAGACCTTTCAAAACCGGACGACTTGGCACCTCCAAGGCTATGTCTTCGCCTTTGCCGTCGTTACTGAGACAACGTCTTTGATGGCGAATTTGAACATATTCTGGCATGTTGAAGTACTTCTTTGTTATGCTGATCTTCCATGACTGGCATCTCTTAAGACCCGTTCTCTCCAGATTATAGTTCAATATTGTGTGATAGAATCTCTAATGAACAATTCACCGTTTCTTCAATATCACTAGAAACAATGTGATGCAAATTCAAAGTAATTCCTAGTTGTCCATGTTGTGATGATTCTTAACAAATAGGACATCGACATGACGCATATATACCTGCAATGAAAGAGGGTAGTATAATTTATTCTTATATATATTTATTCTATATATAATAGTGATGTCGCGATTCACATTTCACATCGGTGTTAGTCAGTTGTCAGTTGTGCTTCTTTGCCTTTATGAGCGAGTCTTTGGACTCTATTCTCAGTAAAATGACTGGGTTTTCCGCACAAAATGTCAGATATGCAGTATCGAGATGCGTAGCGTACCGTGGGTTCTGTATCGAAATATTTATCGTATCGCGTGACACCTATATCGCGACATCCCTAATACGTAACACTTTCAAAATGTGACATAAATATTTACTTAGAATGAAACTGAAACCCTAATGGGTTTGTGGTCAAATAAAAAAGTCGACTATGTTGAACCAACCATCGTGCGAAACATAACTCCATCGATGACCCTTGACATACAACATTTATTTTTAGGGTGTAAACAGATAAATATTTGTCAGTTTGGAACAAATACATCCGTATAAGGGATGGTTACGTGTCATGGCCATGTACATCTCCTTGACCCCATAGCATCAACTGGCCGCTTGGTCTGTGTGTCATTTCAGAAAGTGAAGGTCAATTCTCATAAATTTTTTATCACAATTTCTTACCTCAAAGGATGTAGGCCAAGATCTAAACACAATTTTATTTAATACGTGTGACTTCATGTTTACACTTACAGCCATAAAACAACCAGCTATATCGCGGAATAAAATAGTTCCTCAAAAAGAGAGTTGACATAAGCGTATGGATGCATAACTTACTCTTCAAAAACATCACGAAAACATGTACAAGTACAAGACGACAAAATGTCCGACACGATAAACGTGACGGGAGAGATTTCCGAAGTTGTTAATGAACCTGCATGTGGCGGTTACAAGTCATCATTGATCAACTGGCCGATCATTGAAAGGTGATTAAAGATGCGTCAAACAGACACTAAGGTAAATTCGTAGATTGCTGGAGACGGTCACTGTCAGCCTAGACACGGATCGAGTCGATACTACCATAGTTTGGATGTGCATTTCTTCGTTTGCTCATTAGGATGGGCCGTAGCGAGGATGTTCGTGAACAATCATGCAGTCAAGCTCTCTGACTTTTCTCAATGCATACTGAAACGCTGAGACCAAGATTAAAGCATCTAAAAGATCAGAAAGAAAGCTTATGCATGTTTTCGTGCTAGGGAATTCCCAGGGGTTTCCCCAGGAATGTAGAAGAAGTCCGTCAGTGTTTACGTCTATGGTTCTATCAATACGATATAAATTTCGGTACAAATAAGTCGACGTGTCAAATACATCAAAAGCTGACCTTTTTTCATGCGAAAAAAACCCTTTTGACATACGTTCAAGTTTTCGTCAGGAAACCAAAAGATTGTAGAAACTGTACTAGTGTATGTAATTTTACAGGCTCTTCCAACAATTCTTTCCCATTTTTCAAATGTGAATTCTTATTTATCAGTTCAACTGGTAATATATTATACAACTCTACGCCGATGATTGAGCAAAACTGAACGAAATTCAAGACAGTTTTTTCCACTTCATAAAATGTCTGTGGATTGCAATTACGCTTTATCGGAACGACAAGTCGTAGTTAAATTTACTCAAAGACAATATCATATGTATACAATATCATTTAAATCAGCAATGTTTGTCGATTCCATTATCTCTGTGCTTCAAGATATGACAACCTTTCCGTGTGCCCATTTTTACCCCTCAATAAGAAATCGTGAGCCATTGATGTCAGCTTTCTAAAAAGATTAATCCTCACTATATTTTTAATTTTATAACACAATCCGTGGCACTCAGAAACGAATTATTTGGAAGGCCCGTTTACATTTTCGTTTTCGCAATACGGAAATCTAATGCTGCTCCGATTGTTTCTCTAGTTCGTTAAGTATTTATCAAGAAGCAGCTGCAATTGAATAGATAGACTGCCTGGCATGACTTCTTATGGAGGGGTTGTCTGATTTTGAACAAATAAAAGTTATAAAAGAGTAATATGAAATTACATCAATATAGCAACAACTTAATTATTACAATTTGTTTCGACCCTCAAAGACTCGGGATAAATTATATTGGATAATTAGATACGATCCTCATTCGTATTTTTCGACATTCAATTTAACAGCATTCTCCATAAAATGGTAATACATGTCTTGCGTCTGTCTTGGCCCAGGTTCAGCTGCGTACTGGTTATATTATATGATATCAATAGTAATTATAAAATTAGGAATATTTCTTTTATGTATCATAATCAATTTAAGGAAATATATTTTGATACAAAATCTTTAAAAATGATTTATGGGTATTGATTAGTTTACCACAAGCAATATATTATGAACATTCATACTGTAGCTGTACTGTCGCATCTGGGCGGTGGGGTAGCCTAGTGGTTAAAGCGTTCGCTCGTCACGCCGAAGACCCAGGTTTGAAAGTAACATATTAACATACATGTCTGTCTTAATATCGAACCTCGGAAACTCGGGAAATGAACCGTCTAGTTTCCGTTGGATTGGTAGAAATTAACTTTTTTAGTCCACTACTGACTAGTCCTTATGGTGATAACATATAGTAAAACCCTTTAAAATGGCAACTTTCTTCTAGTCCTTGTGATACCTTAACTATTGGGCAGTTTGGCAAGGGCCATAGATAGGCCTAGTGTCAATTTCTAACGCTGCGTGGTCAATACGTGTTTTGATTAGATCTAGGGGTGTCTTTGTCACAAATAAAAATTATCTAGATGAAATCATGCGAAATAAATTAGGTTTCGGAACGAACGCTGTGCTCGGAAAGCTGTTCTTGTTTGAAATGTAAACAAAGCAAAATTCAGATTTAACACGGTGTAGCATTCTCTCCTATTTTGAGAGGGCCATTCGTTTAAGTGTTGCATATATTGGCTGACGTGTTTGAGAATATTTATGGGAAGAGTGTCATAGCACGAATTATGGAATTAAAAGTAATTATAGATTAACCCACGAGGTACGAGTGATTACGGAAAATATGTCACGAGTGAAATTAATGTTTTAAGTTCCGAGCTTTAGCAGGAACTTAAAACATTAATTTCACGAGTGACATATTTTACGTAATCACTCGTACCGAGTAGGTTATTCTATTTATTACCCATATTCATATTAAAGACATGTTTCAAGAAAAGAAAAAAAAAACTGTCGCCGATCAAGAATCAGCTGTTTTGTATCAATCCGCGTATGAAAAAACACTGTCCACTCATTCCAACCGCATTACTCAATTAAAGTGTTGTTACGCGTGAAAAATATAGTTCTGTTAAACAATTGTAAAGATCACATTATTGCAGTTATATTTCTGTCCGATTTACACAGCGTACACTATCTAGCATTGATAAAGAAGACAGGTTTCCAAAAAGGTTCATCAGGTTTTTTAATCAGAGCTTGTTTTGACAAGATCTCGTCACTGACGTTACAGCCCCCGTCGTGCATCGGCAGAAACATGCATTTCACATTGAGAAGAGGAAACACGGAAAACCTGTCAATTTTTTAATGTGTCATTTGACAAAAATGCCAAAACCTATAACAACAACATAGACGGAATGTACAGAAGTCCTGTTTGTTAGAGAAAAGTTGTGAAAAGAAGGTAAACTTTGAAAAGTACGATTGCTGTCACAGTGTCGGAATGAATGACCCGACTTGACCCAGATGAGACAGCCTAAACCAGGAATGACAAGAGAACCGGCGTTACAGTTTAATCCGGACAACAAGTTTAATGAACATCGTGTGTGATTTGAGTCAGTGTCACTGATGGGAAACATGTGCATGTGGGATTTCAGGAGGATTTGTCAAACGTGGAGTGGACACAGTCAGATGACGGGAGTTTGTTGATATTTTGATGTGATTCATAATGGTCGAATACCTGTTGATAGACAAACACGGTATCTGGAGACTTGGTGCTAAGCTGTCCGCATTCACGGAGTTCATTTAGTTCAATATCGGACACAGGATCAGCTCGCTGGGGTAAGTTTTCTTTTCCTTGTATTTTTAATTATTTTTGCTTTGATTTCAAAACCTGTCTGAGTTCAGCAAAGTGCATCGATTTCGCAACCAGATGCTGGTAATCACGTCGCTAAGGTAACACTATATGCTACCCTTGATCTCCTTCAAAGTAGACAGTTCGAATTCTGAACTGCCTGATGTGCATGCCGAAATGATAAATTTGCAAATAATAATGTTTAGTTGAACCTTTCCTGTGTCATTAACCCTCATAGTCATATGGTCCCCGGACGTCAGTCAGCCTGCATACCGCTCAGCGCCGTACTGTGCAGACGTCGCGGTGACAAAAAACGTATACATTGTATAAAAAGTGTCACGTTCTTATTTCTTCACACAACGTTACAAAATTGTACGAAATAGTGTATCTTTATGATGTCTTTCGGAAAGTCTCAATGTTGTTGCCAAATGAATTTGTTTTTATGCTCATGTCATCGTTGAGAGTGTTAGTAATCATATTTTTCGTGTTTTTCTTACCTGTATACATTTGTGAACAAAGTTCATGTCAACTTGTCAAGTTTAGTCTTTTTCATTGTGTTTTCATTTTCATTGGCAGTTATCGATGTCATCACCGTTCACAAAGGCAAACCTGTCTATACAAAGTCCGGTTTTTTGATTCGGGTGTTCGAAAAATTCATCAAACAGCAAGCCCTCTAGGCCTAACACAGACGCAAACCAGGACTTGGTGGTGATGATCTTGGCGCCCTAGAAACAGTTTCTGGCAACATCACAATCTGAATCTTGGAACTTCAATCTGGCCATATGCAGTTTTGACAACAAAGACATTAAATGTGTTCAGAGGTTGAATTATACGAATAACTTTTCATGTCAGTCAGATTTACTTTGACAGGTCTCAAATGGCCAGCCATGTTTCTTTACAAACGGGGACGTAGTTTTGGTTTTTACTGTAAAATGAAAATCATGTGAAATAAATGAAAAAAATGATAATGTGAAATCATGTTGTTAATATGAAACTATGTGTCTTGTCTTAAAAATCTCGAGTCAGTGAGATTGTAGCACGTAAAACATCTAAAGGGAAAGGCGTGGATTTGTGAATGAATGGGATGAGAAAAAAATAGTTCCGTTGTCCAATGAAAATTGATCTTTGTTTTACTGACCAATCAGCTTCGAGAATCACTAATTGCACACTGTGCAAATATCAAAAAGTTATTACACTGAATATTTGAGCCCATATGGGTAATAATTATATATACGTCACAATGATCAGGTAAATTCTGCAGAAATCGTGAACGTCTCCGTCCTGTGTAACGCCATGACTGACGCTAAATCACGTTCATCAACGACGGTAGTTATCTGCATTTCCCGACTGATTCTCTTCAAGACTTGGTTTCAATGAAAAAAATATCAGATTGTCACAATGTTTCTGATTACTGACATGTCACATTTATGTACATACGATCCCTGAATCAACGAAAGTCCCCTGTATAATCCCGCGTACTGTTGTCAGTGAACACGCCATTTTGTAAAAGTCGGTCACCGGTTGTGATGTAATACGGAAGTAAACATTGTTGTAAATATTTGGTCATTTCTATGAGGTGAAAATTATTAACTCGGTATCCAGCGGGTTCATTGATCTTAACTAGTTTGCATTATCATCATCGCCCTGATAGTCAACAGATATGGCGGAAACCTTTTTGTTTCGGGTCACATTGTTTACGAGAAGTAAGCAGTACGTACGTAGGGTGACGTCAATAATGACCGTTGTGTTATGTATAATGCGCCCCTGCGATCATGAGCAAAATGCATCGAGTCGATGCTAAAATGGTGCGATTTTAGGGTGTGTAAGAAACAGATTACTGCACTCGTGTCTGTCAGACACCATTTATCTAATACCTCGTTAGATACGTTTTGAAACAACTCGTTGTAAGATAAATGGTATCTGACAGACACTCGTGTAGGAATCTCTAATAGTAGCCAGAGTATTGCTCCACGGACAGGTGCCGTTGGAGTCTTGATCAATTTAATTTGTTAATTGTTAAATAGCCTAATCAATTATGAACGGCCAAATATAATCATATTTCGCACATTTTACACATAACTGACAAAGGACAAGGCGTTTATTACCTCACATCCTTACCGTAAACTACCAATATACTATGGTATGTGTGTTAGACGTCTGCGTGCATTTGTCCGACAAGAGTAGTCTTCCCTTTTATCCTATAAAATTTCAACGGGAATCATATCCGAATGCGGAATAGAATATTTAGTGTTATTTATTGTGCATATCACATGGTATGTAATCCTAGGTAATACAACCATGAACTAAGAAGAACTGTCAATACATAAAGCACTATTCTAGATCAACTACCTGTTGGGTTATAAGGCTTGCCGACATTCTTGACGTACGAATATTGAAACCGACATGTTTGCAGCACCAACTACCCATAGATCTGGTAAAACAAAGTAATAGTTGCTCGATCGATTCATCCCAATATGAAAGATTTACTTTAGGCATGTGGAACTTCTTTTATTTACAATTTTCATTTGCATCTATATTGTGATTGATAGGTCCTTAAGTTATAAGTCCTGAAAACACGCTGTGGCGATATTTGGGGATATTCTTCCACGCTTGTTTCAGATCTCTCACATTGTCTTGAGAGAGCCTAGCCTAGTTATATTGAAAATCACCTTTATCGGGTACAATGTGTGAAGTCCATTTTCCGGTGTCCCCCACAGTGATATTGCTGAAGTATTGCTAAAAGCGGCGTAAAACCATATACTCACTCGCTCACATTTATCAACTGTACTCTTCAATTATTGGAGGAAATAAACAATGTCTGTCCGGTAACCCACAACATGAAGCAGAACAATGACTAGCTGGTACATTTGTCTGTCTGTCTGTCTGACTTCATATGGCTTAACTTATAATCGTAATAGAAACCAACTGTAAGACGTGTAATCCACGTTATTATTGTAGTTGTTGTTGATTGTTGATATTATTATTATTATTGGGCATCTTTACTGGTGTAAACTGAAGCTGCAGATTGTGCTGATCAGTCCTACTCGGTTGTCACATAAAGATGTGATGTAATAAAAACAACATGTCACTGAAGCCAGAGGATCCCGCCGGTGTGTCTATTCACCGAGAAGGAGCGGTAAGCTCCTGTCCACTGAAGCCAGGAGTCACCCACCGGTTTCCTGGGTGGCGATACAAACAGCTGTTGTGTGTTTAAGGACAGCTAATGCTGTTGTGTGTTCAGTGATCGCACAAAAGAATGATTGGAATGGCCAAAGGCAAAAGTCTTCAATCAACTTCGTCGAAAGAGCGACTATGAAAACACGTCATTCAGCAACCCATATAAGCAGCCGGGTGAAAGGTGTTCCCAAAGTTGATGCTTTACCCTCCTTCACATCTACAAACTATCAGAATGGACTTCCTGGTCATTGGTCTAACAAGAAGACAGGTGTCGACTGCTGCACGCCGCATGACGTCCTCCTCAAGTAAAGTCCTATGGTGGCTGGAGAATAACATGGAGTGCACCGTCGTCACTGACGCTGACTGCAGCAAGTCGCCGGTAAACAGCTCTACCCATAACACCTCACTGTTGGCAGTGCGAAGTAAAATTCTAGAAGATCGTCTGCTGAGACTTAACACTCGCAGACGACAAATAGAAAAACGTGATGATTTTCTTAAAGAAAGAAGGCGAACAGTCGAAGCCATGGCACTCAAGGTCCTCAATTCTTCCGGTGAGAGTTTTGTACCGTTTAAGAATCGTCATATATTCCTTTACGAAACCCCCAAAACATACCTGTCTTAAACAATCCCTCTAATATTGCAAGCTGTCAATTAACATACCTGTCTTAAGCAATCTCGCCAATACTGCAAACTGCCAATTTACATACCTGTCTTAAACAATCCCGCCAATATTGCAAACTGCCAATTTACATACCTGTCTTAAACAATCCCGCCAATATTGCAAGCTGCCAATTTACATACCTGTCTTAAACAATCCCGCCAATATTGCAAGCTGCCAATTTACATACCTGTCTTAAACAATCCCGCCAATATTGCAAACTGCCAATTTACATACCTGTCTTAAACAATCCCGCCAATATTACAAACTGCCAATTTACATATCTGTCTTAAACAATCCCGCCAATATTGCATACTGCCAATCCAAATGGTCTTTGTTCCTAATTCCAACCATTAACATATTCTTAATTATCCAAAACTGATTGGAAGAAATCGTGATTTTATTACTTCATCCTTTTTTTTCTGGCAGGTCAAACCATAGATATGTCTGTGGGTTTGGATTCCCAAGGAAACATTAGGACCCCGGAGTACAAGGCACTGTCACTGGGTGCAGGGGGCGTCACAGCACAGACACAAAGGCAGCCCGTGAAGCAGGATCCGAACCTCTCTACCACTGTCTTCCCTGGTATGTGCCCTTGTGTGGTCGGTGGATCTACGGTGACGGACTCGCGCCTCTACTGAGTCTTAATCAATGTATTTTCACTTGATGCAAGATTGTCTAAAATAATAATTTGCAGGCTTGGTACACTTTACACGGCACCCTTTACATTTGTATTTGGTGCATCTAAACTGCGTCTTAGGTAAACCTACACATAGAAAACACCGTCCCCACTAAACTATGTTTCTCCGCTATGGTTTCTCTTAATTTGTCAGTGTATGTATGACATTTGTCCTGTTGTAGTGCCCCACGGGCTCAACCGGTCCCGCTCGGACAGACCAGACATGAGTACCGTCACTACCCAGACGTCTTCCAGCCTCCTCTGCAAGCCCCCCACGGCCCCACCCCCCACGGTCGTTCCCCTCGTGGAGCTGAAGGGATACTATAGGAATGGTCACAGATGTACATGGTGCTGACACTGACATGGAGACAGTGGCTTCTTGGTCATTGTTATAGTTGGGTTTTGTAAATATCATGGAACATGTCGATCATTTTATTGTATATTCAAAACGTGTCAATGTGAATAAATCAACATACTTCAGAAGCATGTATTTATGTCACATATTTGTTTGTGTTGTTTAGGTGATCATGTTAAGGACTTCGCTGGTCAATGTTTTTAGAACAGATTCAGGATCAATATAATACATCGCATATATTTATTAAACTCCCAGTATTCAACATGTATTTACTTGAAGAATTTGATATATTTTTTTATTGGCGATAAGTAACATAAGAGACAAATATATGACTACACGACGTCTTTGCATTAAATACCTCGCATATCCGAACTGTTGACATTCTTTCAGCTTCTTCAGTGCTTACAAACGACTTCGTCAGTATACATAAAATCGCATAATGTAGAAACACGACGATGTTATATGTGTAAAAATGTTGGTTTCTCTACGTCATCTTCATATACAACCCCTTGGACCCCTACATATGGAACACGCATCCTCCCAATTCTATCGACAAGAGTGTGTTAAACACGTACAAGAATAACATTAAAATTACCAGCGCTATAGTATCTGCGCTGTTTAATCTATTTGCCAGACCTTCGACTTCCACACCTGAAACTGTGAAAATTGCAATTGTACAGTATTAAAACTGTTCTGGCTACAGGTTAATGCGCCGTGCTGCGTCCACCAAGTCACAAATGCCCGCCTCTCTAGCAGAGAATTCTCCACTAACACATGTTCATGTCCAGATACAGAGGGATCGTCCATCCTCACGAGGAAGGCAGTGAGTGATTTGTAGGTAGCAAGGCAACCACAGAGCAGCCAGCGAATCGAACATGTACTCTATACTGGCACAACTTGTTATGCTGCTCTGCATAACTTTATATGTTGAAGATACTTTTTTTTGACAGAAAAAGAATTCAGTATATCAACAATATCCAGGACACGCGAAGGCTATATAGCTATTAATACGATACACAAGCTCCTCCCGGTTACGTTTGTTATACCGCGATGTGTGTTTTTCTGCAACACGCTTCACACAATTACACATTACATATCATCATCCACTTCCTTTACTTCTAGTTTTGTCACGTGGGCTGTCCCAACAGGGTGCTCCTCACCAGTGCTGCCCGCTGCAGACAGGGCGGTGGAGGGCTTGGTCTCGACATGGAACGTCTGCTTCTTGCGCAGCTCCCGTGCACTGACGTTGGAGATGTAGACGTTAAAGTTGGAGGCGATTATAGCAATAGGTAGCGATAGTATGAGGAGTCCTATTATCGCACTGATGGAACCCACCACTTGCCCAGGGACTGACTTTGGGACATAATCGCCGTAACCCACCGTTGTCATGGTAATAAGTGCCCACCACAAGGCTTTGTGGATGCTGTCGAATGTGTGTGACATAAGTACCATCTCGGTGGTGAAAACTAAAGTAGCAAAGATCAGGACCGCCATTGCCAGCCCAACCATCAGGACCGACAACTCTCTTGCACTTGACTTGAACGTGAGGATAAGAATTTTCATGGTTTGGGATCTTTTTCCGAAGTGTAGAACTCTAAAAATCCTCAACGAAAAACATAGACGCAAGAAGGTTTCGACTCTCTTCACATCAGAGGAATCGTCGGAGACTTCGGGGAATCGATCCATGATGAACACCGTCCACATTACAACGATAAGAAATATGTCGAGTATGTTCAGTGGATGTTTAAAGAACCGGAGCTTGTTGGGACACACCGTTAGACGAATCACAATCTCTATAGTGAAGAAGACAAGGCAGATGTTGTCAATGACGTACAGGTAGGGATTGGGGAGCGTGTTCATCAACATCCCCAACGTCGTAGTGTCGTCGTACGTAGACTGATTGTTGGTAGAGCCATTGTTGTCCCTGTGGATCTTCACCCTAAACATCGGCTCATTGAAAAGACAGAAGACTACGATGGCCACGGAGATGAAGATGAGGTACATGATGTTCCATACCTGAAGTCAGAAAGAATATACAGTCGTGAACGTTTAACTATCTGTGAAGTAATTGTTGTGAACACACATTGGTGAGACATTGTAATTGGATATATTGTGAACACAAATTGAAAGAAATAAACATTTGAACTAACCTAATGTGAAGTCATGATAAAATATATCCTTGGAACTAAATATAGTGAATTGATTTCAAGAGAAATATACATTGTGAATTCAAGTGGTGGTGGCGCATCTGATCACAGGGGGCCTACTTACGAAATTTGAATAAACGTCAGGTAAACCACGTGGGCGCCAGACATTGTGAACGATCATCAGTAAACCCCGTAGATTTCAGTGATAAATCCTCCGATTGATAATAGTGTGTGTGTTTGTTTGTTTGATGTTTTACGCACTCAGCAATATTCCAGCTATAAGACGGCGGTCTGTAAATAATAAAGTCTGGACCAGACAATCCAATGATTTGACACCATGAGCATCGATCCACGCAATTGGGATCGATGACATGCATCAACCAAGCCAGCGAGCCTGACCACCCGATCCCGTTAGTCGCCTTTTACGACAAGCATAGTCGCCTTTTTAGTCTATTTACGGCAAGCATGGGTTGCCGTAGACCTATTCTACCCCGGAATCTTCACCGGTCACCGGGTCTGTGTTCTGTGTGTGTTCTGTGTGTGTGTGTTCTCTCTCTGTGTGTGTGTGTGTGTGTGTGTGTGTGTGTGTGTGTGTGTGTGTGTTTTTTTTTGTGTTTGTGTGTGTGTGTGTGTGTGTGTGTGTGTGTGTGTGTGTGTGTGTGTGTGTGTGTGTGTGTGTTTGTGTGTGTGTGTGTGTGTGTGTGTGTGCCGCAGTTGTGTCATGATTCACAGCAAGATGCACTTCATATGATGGTGTAATTTCATAAAACCAGTTTCATAAATGCACAACAGGGAAACAGGTGTGAACGTTTCAGGTGAACCAATAACACCCTGTAATAAAAAAAAGCTTGTCATGTAATACCGTATCAATATATTCTACACTAAACGATAAATAAAGCGAAGTTAAGGGTAGTAAACATTCAATAAAATGCATATTTACATCACGATGAAAGCCGAGTGAGTGTATAGTCTCGGCATTGTCGGCCTTTGTGTTGGACTGTGCAATCGCGCGATTGCATCGTCAAGTACATCTATGGCAGTGCGTGTGGGCAGCATGTGTAACAATAGATATGGATCTCTCACTCTACCACTCTAACAATAGGCTGTTCTTGTGTACCACGATTTTTTCTGTTAACCCAGCACTCCAGAAACCAGATGTTCCTATATGTCAATTTAACACACATCATTGTGTTTATGAATTGATAGAAACATGCCACTTCCATGTCGTCATATAAATTATATTACCGCTTTCAATTGGTAGTTCAGCCGCTGATATTGGTCATCTGACGCCCACGTCTTTGTCATCACCTGAATCATATTCCTACATACAATTTTACGTCTTTGTCATCATCTGAATCATATTCCTACATACAATTACCACGTCTGTGTCATCACGTGAATCATATTCCTACATACAATTACCACGTCTATGTCATCACGTTAGAAGCAGAGACCACATTCCACGTGTAAGAACAACTCACGCAGTTTAACACGGATGAAAAAACCCGTTCTGGTTATGTTTTCAATTTTCTTCCACAAAAGAATGTATTCGAAAGTCTAAAAGTAGGGATGCATTAAAGACTTAGAAAGGTTGGATATGTTTTAAGTCAGAACATACTCGTCGGCTAGTGACGAGAAATCACCTCCCTCTGCATGTCCGGCGTCTCGCTGTCACCGGTGGGGTAGGCTACGCTCACCTTTTGCTCTAACACCCGGTATGATCACTATTTGATAGTGATTCATAAACACATGGTCATGGTATAGCTGGAGTCGTACAATGGACTCAGCTTTTAGCAGAGATTATGGAAATGTTTTTGTCGCTTTTATTTATTATTCACAGTTCCCTCAACACACCCAGGGGGGCACGGGTGGCCCAGTCGTCTAAGGCGCCGCGATTCGCTGTGCAGAGTTGCGTCCCTTAGGCACGCCAGAAACCTATGATTGTGGGTTCGAATCCCGGTTCGCCCCGATTATGTTTCTAGGTTTGTCAGCACCATACCCGTGCTCGTGGGTTTCACCGAAGTGGTAAACGTCTAAGACCTGCATCACTTCGGGCTTTCCTCCCACATTAAGCTGACACGCCGTGATATGACTGGAATACTGTTAAAAGCGGCGTTAAACCAGACTCACTCACTCACTCACTCACTCAACACACCCAAGTAACGTCTCCGTCGAAATAGACCAATCGATCATTTACCTTTACATTTACCAGTCTGAGAAATTCACTCTCTCGTGAAAATATATATTTCAGACATCGCTCGCTCAATCAACTCTATATGAATATTCGTGAAATATATATAATGAATATTCGTTATGAATATATACTAAATATTCGTTAAGTAGATTAAGTGTGTATGGTTTTGACCGCCTCCGTGGTCTAATGGTAGAGCGTCCGCCCGGAGAGCGGAAGGTCCGGGGTTCGATCCCCAGCCGCGTCATACCAAAAGACGTTAAAAGATGGTACTTGTTGTTACCCTGTCTGGCGCTCGGCATTAAGGGTCTAAAACAAGGACTGGTCGGCTCGGAGTCAGTATACTGTGTCTGAGTGGGGTATTCATGTTTGAACTGCGGCATGGTATCTCAGTGTGCTAGCACTATAAATCGGCATCAGTCCGGACTAGTACAAGCAGCCACACACACACACATACACGTGCATGCACGTCGCTATATAAGTGCAATAATCTTGGACGCGACGTTAAACCCCATTTCACCTCACCTCACTGAGTATGGTTTTACGCCGCTTTTAGCAATATTCCAGCAATATCACGGCGGGGGATACCAGAAATGGGCTTCACACATTGTACCGATGTCGGGAATCGAACCCGGGTATTCGGCGTGACGAGCGAACGCTTTAACAACTAGGCTACACAACCGCCCCGTTTAGTATATTAATCAATTCTAATCCATCATACAGTCTGATAACATTCCCAATGTTTTATCTGATTTATGTCACACTCCTGCAGGCTTACTGTGCAGGGACTGACAGGAGTTCCATTCTAGCCCACAATGAAAAACACTTGTGTTTGGAAACACAGTACAGTACACAGAGACAGTATTAACCTCAATCTTCCCGGCCCTCAAAAAGAGCATCGTGACATTGGGATCCGAGGCGTCACTGATGTGATTTATGCGGCGACTGAAATATATTCTGGAATAATGCACGCAATTTCTTCTGGGCCGAATAAATGTCTGCCTGTCACAAAATATACCACTTAACCGTGTTGATCTCAAATACGTCCACAATCCTTCCACTTCCGTGGTCTTTAAGTTGCCAATACAGGCATATTATCTTATTGAGTGTGTCCCACGTGCATTTAACTCATGAATATTTAAACAAAATGGACGACTGATCACGTCTTTTTATTATGCACTACATGTAATTGTGCAGAGCGACAGTAAAGTCATCTTGGATGGCCGACCCTCTTTCGCCGGGCTCGTGTCATCTGCATACACACTTAATGATCCTGTTCCTCCGGCGCAAATGAATTGTACGCGTTGGCCATATCAAATCTGGTCAGTGAACCACTGCCAATAGTAGAGATATCTTTGAGCAGTAGGAAATATATACTTTGATATAACAATAACAGTTGTTACTCCGAGTCGATAACTGGTCACAACATCTGAGTTCCATCTAAATCATCTTGCCCTTATTAGCAGTGCCTTGAACTCCCTGTTGACATCTGACTTTGCGGTCAAACTACCAGTATATCGTGGCCCGTACACTCTAGAAAGGTATAAGTAAACACATACACGAACTGTTTAGATCTCAATATGTTGAAGAATACAAACAAGAATACGAATGTTCAATCTAAATACGTGTCATGTCACATGAAATTAGCTATCGTCTCACATCCTCACATCACTGAACCCCTATAATCTAAACATGTTTGCGACAAAGTGCAAATCATTGTGTATTATCCTTATACCCCCTTATACCCCAAACATATTTACGACAAAGTGCAAATCATTGTGTATTATCCTTATACCCCAAACATATTTACGATGAAGTGCACCTCAATGGGCATTACGTCAGATATCGATGATAATCGATCTGCAATAAATCAGTCACAAATACATAAATATGTTTTACATTCCCAAGTTATGAAATACCATATTCATAATTACAAGTTGTTCTGCAATGAACAGTAATTTAAATGTCATTGTAAGAGAACATAATATTCTGATGTCATTGTCGTATTGGCTGTTTCAAGTATGAACACAGAAGTTATCAAATGATTTAACTTAGCAAATTTATTTGTCACAGTCACACGGGCATTATACATATAATACATGTACACAATAATACATGTACACAATAATACATGTACACAGTAATACATGTACACGGTCAACTCCACAACAATATAATACTCAGTTACAATAGAGAAATCTCACGAGTTAAAGATATGTGTAGATCTATATAATTCTGACTAAGAGGGAATATCTTATGGTTCGATCTTTCGTGGTTAAACATGGTGAACCAAAACTGTATGGTATAGTGGAAACCGATCACTTACCTCCCCTCCCGGAAGTGACACCATACGGTCACAATTTAGTTAATAAACAAAGGCGGTCGATTTGCAATATGAATGTGAACGAGAGGTTGTTCAGCTTTAACACAGACTAGTTTTTTCTGACAACATTGTCCAGATTATTGAAGGTAATGGTCCCATCTGCGTCTTTGAATATCAATATTGACAGAAAACATGTAGCATGAAACTACACTGCATTTTCTATACTGCTCTTCACTCAAGCTATAAATTGTCTAAATATTGTTGCTTTATTTCGCTGTACAGTGGTCATGTGTTATCAATATGTTGTACTCTAAGTTTATGTAAAGGATTAGTTTAATGTCTAACATTGATTACC